GAAAGCTTCTCCCCATTTCTTCTGCGTGCTAACTGCCGTTCAGTGTTTGGTGGGTAGCCTGCTAGAACACATGTGTATGTGCATGCAGAAAACAGACTTTTTAAATATAAATCATACTGTATCATCCTGCAACTTCTCCTGAAAGGGGTTTTTCAATTGCATTGTAGCCTTACAAGTCACAATGAAACCATCAACTCAAAGATTATATGTCCCACAATGTTTACTTCAATGCTTACAATAACCAGGACCTGGGAAAAATCTTACTGTCCACTGATGACTCATGAGGTTAAGAAAATGTAGCCTGCCCGCGCCAGAGGATTCAGTGCAGCCTGAGAAAGAGGAAATGCTGCTCTTTACAGCACAATGCAAGGCGTTCAAGGGAATCATGTGTAGTAGAGCAAGTCAGAAAGGCAAATACTGGACACATAGCAGATGAGCTGAGATACCAAAATACTTACAAAAATTAGAGGACGCAAGTAAAGGGAGGTTTCCTAAGGGTCAGCAGAAAGAATCAGAGGTGTAAAGGACAGTGGCAGGAAGAAAACCAAATTAAATAATAAAAATTTCTTTTTTTTAAAGATTTATTTATTTACACATACAGAACTGGGGTACAGGCCAGAGGTGCAGGGGCGGTGAGAGGATTCACCAGACAGAACGGGGAGCAGAACAGGCAGATCAATGAAGTACACCGCTGAGGGGAGCAGTGGGCAGGTCAGGAGAGGTCTGCTGCGCCATGTGGATCACCTCCTGGACGGGGATTGAACTCGCACTGAAGCTGATGCGGCTGTGGCTAGCTTGCAGTGCTGTGTCCTAACCGGTTGCGCCATCAAGGAGGGCCCAATAATAAAAATTTCTTAATGCTGGGAAAGAAAGAGAAGACCTGGTAGCAATGTTTCCAGACCACGGGTCTACTTCCACACTCAGGCAGGGCAAACACCAGCCAGATGCTGGACAGTGACTGTTGATTTCTCACTACATGTGACTAGTCCACTGGCTTCTTTTTCTTCTTAGCTCAGTTACTAATGGCTTGTTTAAACTTTATTCTAAAATAAAAGGGAAAAAGAACTTACCTTAATTTCTGGAGCTCTTTCTGTGCATGCTCAATCATATGAACCAGATTTCTAAGGAAGGAAAAGAGGAAAATCAGATTAATGTACATTAAAATTTAATATCAACTAAAAGTGATCTGGTCTATACAAGGGTCAAGATTTTCTGCTAAAAAGTTCCCTGGTGGAGCAGGGGTTTAAATCTCCATTGCGATCAAGCTACAGCCAGCCACTGCAGCAAGAATTTGATTCCTGGCCACATGGTGTGGTATAACAGACCTCTCCTGTCTCACTCACTTCTCCCTTCAGAGGGGTGTTTCAGTCAATTTGCCTGTTCTGCTCCCCATTGTCTCGGGTGAATCCTCTCACTCTCTCTGCACCTCTGCACCCTAGTTCTTGTATGCATAAATAAATAAAAACAAGTCTCTTAAAAACTAGGGAAAAAAAGTTAATATTTATTGAGTTTTCTGTGGCCAACACTGCCAGATATTCTAATATTGGGTAATTCAGGCCCTACCTAGTGGCCAGATTAAAGTACAGAACTGTGAAGCTATCACAGCCACTGCAGCATGAGTTTGACCTGTGGCCAGGGAGCTGACCCACATGGCACAGCAGACTTCTTCTGTCTCACCCGCTGCTCCCCTCAGCAGTGGATTTCAGTTGATTTGTCTGTTCTGCTTCTCACTATTTCTGGTGAATCCTCTCACTCCCATCATCTCTGTCTTACACCCCAGCTCTGGTGTGCATAAATAAATAAATCTTAAAAAACAAAAAAACAAACAAACAAAAAAAAACCCCCAAACCCAAGGTTTTGGGGTTGGTTTAAAAAAAAAAAAGGCTTCTTACTCATTGTATACTTTCCAGGCATTGCATCCATGCTGTGACATTAGTTCCAGATTCTCAATTCTCACTGCTTGATGCTCTAACTGAGCCATAGAATTGTTTACACATTCTTGCCAAGCAGTAATATCATTTTTCTGTCCTGAGGAAGGGGCTGGAAGTTCATACCTGAAATTAAATAACAGTAAAATAAAATGACATATTCTCAAAACTTCTCTCCTCCCAACAGAATGCCTGACAGGTCTCTGCACACTGTATAAACTACCGAAGACAGAAGATGCAGGTCTTGCAACAGAACCCTATTTATTCTGTGAACAATCAACTTACACAGGAACAAAAAAATTGACTATGACAGATTCATATAAAGGACTGGTCTGTTAACTAAGAGATTTACAAATTATTAAGGGAAAAAAAATCGAATGCAAGACACTCTTATCTTTGTTAATCTACACCTACATCCACCCGCCATGAGTGTATCCATGCCCCACCATGCTCCTGCGTATCCAAACTCCTCTGGAGGAAAAACAGGACGTAATAACCTTTTGCATTTGTACCACTCTAATTTCTTTCATCACATTACCTAGTCTTTCAGCACTGCCGATACTGCAGAGAGCCAGCAAACTCACTCTTCATAAACATCAGATCGTTATCCATGAGTTACAGAAAATTACTTTTAATTTCCTTTTCAGTGACTTACTAGATATTATAAAAACTCTACACTACACCTATGAAAAAAGAAGATCTATAATTGGGATCAGGAAATCGGTCATACGTCAGTACGGTCTTTCCCCACTGTGATATAGTATACAAACACACAGCTAAACAAGGTCCCCCAGTAGTGGCGCGGGCCCAGCTGAACACGGAAGTAGGACTCACCGCTTCATGCTGAGCAATTCAATTGGTTGTCGAGCAGCCAGTCTCTCAAACTCATTTCTCATTATGTCAGTCTGGTGTATAAATGAGAAAGAATTACTTCCAATCCTCTCATCAACAAACTAAAATTAACTGTCACCAAAGAAAGAACGAATGTAACCTACTTACATATTTATAGTTTACAACACCCATTATAATGGGTTAGATTCTTTTCCCCACGCCTTTTCTGGGCTAAAAACTCTCTGGGATCTGGAGAAGATGTACAAACACACCTCTCTCCATTTGTAAAGGGGCCCCTAGAGAAGAGATTCATCCTAGACCAGAGGTTCTCAGCCCCAGCTGCCCACTGGACTCAGGGGGAGACGGAACAGGGTTAGGACTTTTAAGTCACTTCAAAAAGTGAAGTTTAGTGTTGAGAACCACAGGCCTAAATATTCATGGGGGTGGGCATAAATGTGCTTTAGGCTATGAGCAAAAGCCTATACTTTCTTTTTGGTTCCTGATGCATTTTCACAATTTGCATTTTGCAAAGAATGAAGAAAAGGGTAAAGGACAAAAGAAACTGGTTCTATCTACTATAACTATTTTACTATCTAAAAAAACCCCTACCTTTCTTTAGGTTCAGTGTTTTGGTCAGTATTCTATTTCTCTTTTCTGCTGAGTATACAAAACTGCTAAGTGAAATATTCATTGACAGCAATATCTTAGCTATTCTATATAATTTCTATAAGGACCTAGACTCTTTTATTAGGCTAGATGAGAAACCATAAAAATGCATGCAGTTTTCCTGACTTCATGCCCGTCTTCACATAATACAGGAGCCCATATATCTACATGGCCAATAATAATAGATCTGGAATTTTAACTCTCATCAAGGCTCACAAAGCTAAATTATGAGCATGATGCAGGTCTCAGCTCAGCTTAGTTAATCCTTCTTCAATTGGCCTATCTAAAACAATACCCACTCTAGGTCACATCATTATTTTCTCTGTATAGCTTTCTCATTATCTGCTATTTTCTGATTTATGTTGACTCCACAAGTGTGTGTATTTTACCTATCCTGTTCCCCAATAACTGGCACAGAATAGACCATCGTAATAGGTGTTAAATAAGAGTTTGTGGAAAGCTGTTAGAACTTGGGTAATTAGCTTCTGAATGCCCATCTAAAAAGTAAAGATAATAAACATACCATTATATAGTTCATAGGGTTCTTTTTGAGACTGAAATATGAGCCCAGTAACACGATTAGCTCCTATTATTAAAAAACCATTAGACAGGCCTCCCTGATGGCGCAATGGTTAAAGGCAGCACTATCAACGTATCGGCACACTATCAACGTATCGGCAGCCACTGCAGCCTGAGTTTGATCCCAGGCAAGGAGCTGGGACCTCTCCTGTCTCCCTGCTCCCCCCAGCAGTGGGGATGCCTGTTCTCCCCTCTGTGTCTCTACTGAATCTTCTCATTCTCTGCACGTCTGGCCTGTACCCCAGTTCTGTATGCTTAAATAAATAAATCCTTTTTTTAAAAGTTAAATCATTTTTATAATGATTATGACAAGCATATGTTGTATTCAAGAGTGTTAACAAGAAATTGGTTAAGATATTATTGAATGCTGTTGCTTAAAACTTTCAGAAATCTCAACAATAAAGAAACATCACTGTACTCAGTTCTAAATGTAGTAATATCTACATCTGGGTAATGAATGGGGATTTAATGGGTGCAGGCCTTGAGTCTGAGGATCCCAAGAGGACTCCTTCTCATTTGTCTTCTGTGAAGAAAGAATTCAACGTTCAAACCAACCTACAGATAAAACAAGATATGCTGATAGGCAGGTAGAACAGGAAAGCTCTCCTAGTGGAAAGGGGTCCCCAGTTGGTAGCTACTCAGGTGTTGTGGGCAATGTATGGGGGTTTGGCCACTGGGTGTTTCAATTTGTCTCCTGTTGATTGGCTGGGCCCCCTGGGGTCTCAGGGCTACCCAGGCCCACTCAATTTTCCCACAGTATCCAGCCTACTTCTTTGAAAGTAGCTTTAGTCCACTGCTATTGTGCTATTATGTTGGTGTTCTGAACATTCCATTTTTAGTTAAATAGGGGGTGGGGGTAGGGAGGGTTGGCACCATGCTGGTCTGTGACTGTTTCTCAGTCAGGCTGATAACCAGACTCGGGGCTCAGGGCACCCTGCTCCTCCTGATGGCCTATATATATACCCATTTCCTGACTTCCTTCTCCATTCACATTTAGAATAAGCATCAGAAAACAGTATTTCATAGGAACATCTCTCTGGAAACTTAATCTGTATTTTTTTCATGTTAATTCAATTAATTACAATATAATATTTTATTTCAATAACTGAAGTCTTTCGTTAATAAATGGGTACCCTTAACTAGGCCAACACCCACATACATGCTAAAATGCTGACCAGAACTAATTCTGCAATGGTATTTTGCATTTCAGTTTGTGGATTAGACCCTAAATAGTATCTTGGATGTACTTCTGGACTAAATATTCAATGTAAGATCTATGCCTAGATACGGTTCGTAGTTATTCATTCACATTCGTTACGTAAATATTTAGCCTTTGATACAGGACGCCCTCCAGTGGTTTTCAAGAGCTTAGGCAATTAGGTCACACACAAAAGAAATCCTACATCCCTTGTTTTATAATGCAGCAACCCTCTGAGAATTCACACAAGGAACCTAACTCGGAAAAATGTACAGGCCAAATTTTGCATCAAAACAGTTCGTGGAGCCCCAAAGGTCCTTCTGTGTGTTTCAGAATAAGCAGCTCTGGGCAGGCTTATCTATCTAGCCGTTTTCAACGGACTGATTCTATCCACACAACCGGTGAGCAGCAGCAAATTTAACTTCACTTTTCCCTGGTTGGGGCTCTCCATGCAAAATAAAGATTCACTGGAATCCCGCTGCGTACGCAGGCCACGACGTCACACTTACTTCAAAAGCAGAATAATCGGGAGCTGTCAGGTAGCTCAGGTAGTTCTTAGTTGGTCGGTATCTGCGAGTTTCCTCCTCCACCAACGCCGCAGCCTAAGAGCAAGAACAGGGGCCAAGAAGGGGCAGCAGATCGTAAGGCTCGTTCTCCGGCACTAATGGCCGGCGAGCGCCGTCACTGCAGGCCCCTGCACTCACCGCTTCCCGCACGCCGGGCGCTTCATAGCCTTGGTCAAAATAGGGGAGCGCATCCACCACCACCTCTCCAGCCACCAAGCCCGTGCCCGCCATATTCAGGTTGGCCGGAGAGTGGTGAGCTGCGCAGGCGCCAACCCATTGACATTACGCCTGCGCCCGCCAATGACGTAACCCGCGTCGCCGGAGCGAGGCTTTGGCGCATGCTCGGTTGTTGATGAAGGCGGGCCCGCCTGGCCACTAGGAACGGCCCGGCCATTTTGTTTTGTTCTGCCTGACGTCACGTCCTGGTTTCCCAGCTGCCGGGACGCTTTCAGTTTCCCGTACCACGCTCGCTGCTTTTATTTGTCTCGGGCTGGAGAGCAGTGTGGCGAGTCGAGACCTTTGGTTTCCTGCAGGGCGCTGGTATCGGGAAGAGAGTCCCCCACAGCTTCTGCAGGCAGCGGGCTACATGATTTGGTGGGGAGCTAGAGTCTGTCTCCTCCGACCTTCCACCTTCCCCTTAAGCCCTGTGCCGGCCCTCTCGCCCTTGCATCTCCTCGCGGTAGCCTCCCTATTCTCTGTTCTCGAGCCCTAAGGAATTCTGGGCAAGTGCAGTCCTTACAAGTAGGCGTCAGTCTCCAGTCAAATTCTGCAGCTTCGGGTCTACCTAGCAAAAGGAACCCGGCCGCTCCTCATGGCCGTAACTGCCCACTAACCCTCCCCCACCCCAACCCGCCAAGCCCAGTTATTATTTTGCCACACCCGCCAGTCCTGCCGTCCTGCCATGCCGGGTGTGTGTATGTGTAACCCAGTTATTTTGCTTTCAGAACTTTAAAACAGCGCTCCCCTTTCAGCTCCATCACTCATGCGGCGGCCCACGCGTGGTCTGTTGGAGGCTCCCAACTCCCGTTCACCAGTGAGGCACTAAAATGGTTTAGCCTGGTACAAACCAGACTAAAATGGTTTGTAACCTACCGGGTGTGCAATCTACACTCAAGATTTTGTCTTCCAAGAGCCTGGAAATGCTGGATATTGTTAGTAAGTTTTGGTCATTAGGAGCCGTGAGGATAATCTTTTAACCTGTAAAAGATCTTGACGTCTTAAGCAGTTTTACTTAAAATTCTCCAAAAGACCCATAGAATTTTTATGTTTATTCATTAAAAGATCTGTAAACAACATTTTATACAAAGCATGAGCAACTCTTTTACAAACATGTCCAGAACTCATAATACTGTACAAAAACAACATAAAACAGACCTAGGAAAACGAAGCAGCTTCAGACCAAAGGGACTAAAATAAGACCCCCCCATTCCTGAAGCAGAGGTCTCCTCACAGAGGGATCGCCAGGATCCACCACAGTAACATATCCCCGTTTTGAAAAAGACTCAAGTCCAGGTCACTGATTGTTCCCTCAATGTTGGCATGTCTGAAGCGACCCAACGGGGACATGCCTGGCAAAAGCCATACTGTGATAAACTGCTAAATAAACATCTTTAAAAAGACACAGGCTCAGTTCATTTTCCTGGACCCACATCTACAGGAATTATACAACATCTGTCTGCTTCAGATTCATTCATGCATACCTAAATGGGTTGTAATGACAATGCTGTACAAGTGAATAAACTATCAAATACAACTTGTAAGGTTTTGTTAAATTGGAGTATTTTTATGCCAGTTGAAAGCATCAGCAGGGGGTTAAAAAAAACTGGCATTTGCTATGCCATATATCCATGAAACCTGCCCAATCATTAACAAATTCTTCTAGTCACTATCAATTAGATAAGTTGGTACTGATATGTGCAGAATGTTCATATTCTGCATCTGAGTTTCTTAGGGCAGAGAGTCCGACAATCCCATCGGCACCAAAGTAACAATGGCTTAACAGTTTAATGTCCCTTATCCTCAGAACCACAGCTTTGGTGCAGTTTACCTTAAAAGAGAACTTCCAACAGGTGTCATCCTACAGAGCTCAAGTTTCAGTCTGTAGGACTAACCAACTTCCTGTGTTCATACACCAATAGTCCAGCTTCCGTTCTGGCTCTGCTGTAACTTTGGGCAAATTATTTAACCTGTTTGAATTCCAGTTTCTTCATTACAAAAATGGAGATGCAAGACCTGTCTTACAAAGTTGATTTCATGAGTTAGTAAGATAACATACTTGTACCATAATGCATGGCACATGTGGACAATAAAAAAAAAAGTTCTCATTCCCTTGAAAGGACATTTTCTGATTTAAGCTGTAATTACAGAGTTTAATGTTGACGCACGAGGGCAAGCTACCTGAGTACCACACAAGGTGGAGGAGCTGGAGACGTCTACCTTGTAAGATACTCAGTGACAGCACTAATAAATAGGACTTGCACATAGTGAGATTCTCGAGACAAAACACCAGATCGACAAAAAGGAGGTGTCAGTATATCCCTTAGTCCAAACTGCCCACTGGTTTCAAGCTGCCGTGGTATTCTGAGTATGACAATTGTGTGTGTAGGGGTAGAAGGCTCCATTTCTAGCATGTTCCTCTAGTTCCTTAACTCATATTCATCTTTGGGCTCTTTCAAATGCAACATCAAGTCTTTCCTTTGTAAAAGACAAGTGCATTCACAGACTAAGCACAAAACACAAAGAATAAGCCCGAAAGTGAAACAGAAAAGGCCACTTAAAAAAATTTGGACACAGAGTAAAAAGCATTAGTTCCAGGCTATTCCAGTGAAAGCTACAGCAGCAACAGAAGAATCCTCTGAGAATCTGGCCTACTCTGTAATCATCTTTCAAGGATTTTGTGAAATACTCTAAGGCATCTTGACTCTTGGAAAAATATTTTCTTTGGCACTTTCCATTCTATTTAGAATGCAGACAACCAGATTTATTTCTTCTGCAGAAATTTCATTTTACTTCCTAAAGGGAAAAGAGTGAAAGCTCATTAGTTCATTTTTATTAATTGTACATTATTTGAAGTAAGGAATTAGCAACCTGGTCATTTAGAATCACCCAGAAGTATGTTCCCATCTGAAACTATCAGCTACTGTGTTTCACCACCCCAACCGCCAAGTGTCTTTAACTGTAGAGGTGGAAAAGAACACAGATAGCAGCTAACTTAGTCAATCCTGAGCACAGTTAAAATCACTTTGCCTGCCGAGAAAATAGCAAAAATAATGAA